GAAAATCCTTCTATATTTGTTTCTTCATCTCCGACCAACCTTCACTGCATATCTTGGACCTCCGACCTATTGATGGTACCAAAAATATACACATTCAAGAATTAATCAGAACAATAAGAAAACGAATCACAAAGTGGTGATGCATGTATATATTATAGTAGTGTGTTTTTTCTCAAAGTATACAACAAATTAAAGCTTAGTGTTTTGACGATAATTCAATAAGTGTATATGCATTTTAATAGATACTAACGTATTCGGAAGCGTCTCTGGCAGCAACGGCAATGATATCAGCGCAAGAAACTACACCGGGACAGGCTCTCTCCACATTGGATTTGGCTTGATCGATAACTTCGAATCTTCTCGCAGATTGAAAGTTTGCTAAAGCATCTCTCTCACTCTCCATGGTAGGATTGCCACGAGCATGACCGATGCATCACAACCCTATAAAACCAAACACATATTTTAGACACGTTCATGAACGAACACACATGCATGTTTAGATCATATATATGGTGATTACTTACATTAACGAAGCAGTCGTGGAAATGGAGACGGATGAGAGAAGCAGCCATTCTACGATCACGGCTGATCGCGGTTCGGATTGAAGATCGGATGGTCGAGAGAGCGTTTGGACAGCTTTGGTCGTAGAAAGTAGGGGAAAGTTGTGCTTGACAGAAACAAGACAAGCTTAGTAACAATACAAGAATCTTGAAGATTGCCATAATAGTGTGTTATATATAACAAGAAACTTTTGTGACCAAAAAAAAAAACAAGAAACCTTATTGTGAATTTTCTAAGTGATATAACAAGCTAATTGAGAAGTGATTGATGAATTGAATATATTTGAATATATTTGAATATATTTGGAATGAGACGAAATAAGTCGTATATATATATATAGGAGCGAATTGTTCAATTGCGGTCACTTTTAGCTGCTAGAGCGCGTCGAAACTACCCGACGACCTATTCTAATACTCGCTTTTCCTTCATTCTTATATATTTTGAAAATTGACTTTTTTACATTTGGAAAAGTAGGGAAAGAATCTTTAATTAGGATAACGTAATGTCGAATTGTCCACACCATAACCACAAGTGGTGCCGAGTTTGCTTCTTAACTTGTTCTACTTGGCTTTCCTCTTTAGGTAAGTTTGTTTGTTACTTAAGCCTTAGCTAATAGCTATGATCAGTGACATTTATGAAACAACGAGATTGCAAAATAAAGTTACTTTGTAAAGTAGAATGATAGGTTATAAAGCAAGAAAAAACTACAATTTTGATTGCTAATCCATAGAATGACAATATTTCTGTCATCTACTCCTGTTTTTAGTTAGAATAAGTTTGTTTTGTTGCATTACGATTCCACGCATTTTGTAGTATTACAGTTTATAACTTTAATTGAATTAAAAGCTACAAATTATATTCTGTTTTTATAACTTTAGTATTATATGGGGGAGATGCAGCCCATAGATATTCTCTCTCCGGATATGCGCAACTGAGCGAAATGAAGGATCCATGTCCGTGTAGGTGTTCAAGGTAATGTGTTTTAGTTTCAGGCAGTAGGTGGATCGAACTTAAAACGTGTTTGCGCCACAAACCCGTCTCCTTATCACTCGATCACAAGGCCTCCGGACCTGTTTTATTTCCATTAAGTATTATAGACTAGTTGTGTAAAACTCAAAATGTGATAAATTTGTATGATTAGAAAATGATATTTTTCATTCTTAAGTCTTCAATTATGTACGTTTCCGTAAATTTCCGTTTGATTAACCAATCTCCAATGAAATATATAAATTTATTGAAAATGGCTCCTGCGATCAATTACTTAATGTATTATTTTCTTCATTACAAAGGGCATATATAATAAGTTTTATAAAAATAAGTTTATGAAAAATAAGCATATATATACGTCTTTGGATTTGAATTATTTGTATTGGAGGACAGCTTCTAGTCTAATTAATCATGTAAGACAGTTAAGATCCATGCACTCGTCTAGTAACATAGTTGAATTGACTATTTCCCTTTTCGTCGAAAGAAAATGAAACGTATGAAACACGCTCATTATTCTTTTGAAAAAAAAATTGAATGTCAAATATGTT